CAACGTCTTTCAAAAACTGCTTCCATACGGCTATTTCAAACATGACAAAATATATTAAAAAACTCTATCCATTTTTCACCTTTATACTTACACAAAAACTGCTTTTCCAATTTTTTTTCTGATATGAAAAAGACAAAAGTGATGCTTTGTATTTGAAAAAAAATTATTTATAGCTGCAATCATTATACAATCAGCATCCGTGAATAACAGTTTTGGTGCTAAGCCATTAGTTGCTTTAAGTAAATTCTCTAAGAACTATAAAAAAGTTTTTTTCGACTCGTCTGATATAATAGCAGTTGCTACTAAACGTAAACGGTTGTGATTGTCAATAACCACTACAATACAGAGCTTCATCGAATAACGATTTGTTTTGAAAGTTGTATCTATAAGTACAATATCGTAAAATCTATCTCATAGCTATATTTGGCTTGGTCACATCTATATAAGACCAACTAGATAATTGTCTATTCTCTCAAATTTCGCATCAACATAATAACCTGGTTCATCCTGTTGTTTTTTGATTAGTTCTAAATATGTGCTACCAGCATTATCTCTACATGCTTTTCACAGCAAATTGATTGTACTGTATCATATTATATACATTACATGTATAAATATATTTATCAGGATTTTTTTGTTACAAAACTTCCACAATAGCACCAGCCTATACACCACAAGATATAAGTAGATGAATATCATCTTGAATTTCTTTTGTTAAACGACGATACCTTGGTTTTGCTATCATAACATTTTTAACTATTTCATGATTGTGATTGCCAACAATACTTGAAATACGAATCTGATTATTATTTTTCTATCGATATAAATTTACATGAAAAGGACAACCATCTGTTTTGAAACTTTTATTTCATTCATCAAGCACATGCGCTTCTTTGTGTAGTACATATTTCTGTTCTTTTGTACATAAATATACACAATGCCAAGGTTGTTGATCAGTTTTATCATTTTCACTATGCATAATACAAAACACAAAACCTTTCTCTTGCCTATAACAGTTAAACGATCTATTCAATTTTGTATAAGAAAAACAATAGTTAATCTAGCAAGAACAGCAAATTCTAGTTATTATTATTTTTTTATCTTAAACTTAATTATCAACATCTTCTTAACAACTGAAGGTTTGATGTTTATCTAATGAATAAGTAAATTCATGGTTATTCTCTGAATCTAATTTATCATTATCAGGTACCACCTTCTTATCATTGTATTCCGTGCTGTAAATATATTCAGAGGTCTCAATATTATTCGCTTCAGCATTATAAATATATTCGGAGGTCTCAATATCATTTGTTTCAGTATTAATAAAGCTCTCATAACCGTCATCAATACCGAAGGAAAGCAAGTCATTTATATCAATATCAAAGAAAGGTAAGTTATCTATGATTATAATAAAGTAACTGAAGAGAAATTGACACAATACCAAAGAGAGAATGATGTAGTAAGAAAAATGAAAGAGAAAAGGACGATTTGAAAAACACATGACTCGAATAGAATAAGGGTCTAAAAAAAAAAGGGCAACACAAAACAAAAATACCAGAAGGAAAAGACAATTCAGAAAAAAAAAGAAATTCAAAAAAAAAAGCAAACCTAAATGAAAAGTAAATCGGAAAGAAGATACAATCCAAAAAGATAAAGCCAGGAAAAATGGATAGAGTTTTTTAATATATTTTGTCATGTTTGAAATAGCCGTATGGAAGCAGTTTTTGAAAGACGTTG